CACCCCCCCACCCCCACACGCCCCCCCTCCCACACTCTCTCACACACACACACACACACACACACACACACTCTCTCTCTCTCTCTTATACACACACTCTCTCTCTCCCCACACACACACACACACACACACACACACACACACACACACACACACACACACACACACTTACAAAAGCGTGTACACACAACCACACACTAAATCTTCTCACCTCTAGCTGCCATGGAGTGCATCTGATTGGTGTAAGGTCCGAACCTGCAGAGATGATGTCACCTTTTCATGCTCACGGTGTTGTTTATGGAATGTACCATTATTTAGCCGCTCAGTAAATGACAAAACCCTGCAGCCATTATAGCAGCCGCACGAGCAAACAAACTACCAATAATGCCAATTTACTAACAACCGACGGGGCGAGAGAACCATCAAAGGCGCGACAAAATACGACAAAAGCGTGCGCGAGATCGTTTGGATTTTTCATCTCTCTACAATGAGGCTGATATTGCCGTCTAAAATGTTTCCTCTGGGAGTAGTCGGAATGAATGGCGCTACGTGGGGGCTGAATCACTGATGTCTAGCTTGTGTGTGCCAGCCACTTCCGAACTCCTCATTACGCTGACCAAAACCCATTCTAAAGTGTTTACAGATGACAGCAGATGATTTAAGACAGACCGGTCCATACGACTGCATTTTAGCGCCCTATTAAGATGGGCAGTATTTATAGGAGCGCCGCCCTGAGCTCCTTAAACTAACAGATAAATCAGTTTGGTGCGAGGGACGGCTGCCGGCCCACCATGCAAATCAGCCATAGCGCCCGTCACTGTAAAAGGCTTAATGACGGCCATTCATCCTGCCCTCCACAGTCTCTACCTTTGTTTCAAGCACAGATCTGATCTCTAAATCAAGACCTGCTGCGCATGGCTGTGTGGCCCCATGCATCACAAATAAGAGCCCGCACACGCACACGCGCACGCTTGCATTAAAACAACCAGACCTGGTGGCGTTGGAAAGAAAAATTTTTCACGCCTGCCTCTCCGTTAGTTTGGTCTCATCAGTTTTGCCCCATTGATCGTGATGTTTACCGCTAATGGGGATGATAAACAACAACAAACAAAGAGCTTCACTAGATTCTTTTTGATTTCGGCCCATTATTATCTGTCATGGGAAATAAGGCAAGAAACACAGTCACTTCCTGTCCTGTTCCAGCTTCGTAAATGTCTATTCTCGAGTCCACTTAGTTAGGGGTTAAGTATGGGTCAGAAAGGTCAGGGGTTGTATCTCATGACCCCTTTACTTACACAAACTGGGAAGCATTACATGCATTTGCAGATCAAGAAGTGCTCAGGCAAGAGTAAAGTGAAATATTGCTGTGCGAGCTTTAAAACAGGTGTTAGTACAAGCTCATATTACAATTAGATCGTCCAGAGAGTTCTCTTAGTTGGGCAATAAATTGTGCAGTGCTGTCAGTGATTATAGCAGGAGGGGGGAGTTTGGTCTAATTACCTCCTTTTGCCTCCCACCCATCCAGCCTCAAGCATGATCGTCATAATTCACTTCTATGCTTTTCATTTTGAATCATGCACAAGGAGTGAAGCATTGAAATGAGACCATAGATAAGGGTTAACAACCATTTGCATGTGACCTTCCTGACCTTTGCTCCATGTCTGTGTTCACAAAGTGTCTCTCCTCTTGTGTCTTTATCAGGAAGGCATGTTTTCATAAAGGTCCTGTATGGCACAGATCAGTAGATGTGTGAATGTGAAGATAAAGACTTCTTGAGACGTCCTTTTGGAAGGCCAAACAAAGTAATTTAGCTTTCACAACGAAACACACGGAGGCCTAGAGTGAGTGGCGGCTGGCGGCTAGAAGAACGGTAGCTTGTAACACTCCAAAGAGAAAGGAAAAATTTAAATCGCATTATATGACCCCTTTAAGGGTAATATTGTTTTATGTGCAGGGAGGCCCAAAGGTCTGGGACAACATTGTAAATCTTGGAGTAAAAAATAATTTTAAAAGAAATAAACAATGTATTGGGTTTTAATTTTAAGGGTAATAATGAGAATTTTTGACATTGACCATATTAACTCTTTTGTACTGGTCAATTTATTTTACAATTTAATGTTTTACACAAATTGATATGGTACACTGATAATATGATTTGTAATAAAAAAGGTAAAAAAAGTTTTTTTTACATTTTACTATATATATATATATATATATATATATATATATATTTATTTATTTATTATTATTATTTTTTATATATATACACGTAATAATGAGAATTTTTGACATTGACCATATTAACTCTTTTGTACTGGTCAATTTATTTTACAATTTAATGTTTTACACAAATTGATATGGTACACTGATAATATGATTTGTAATAAAAAAGGTAAAAAAAGTTTTTTTTATATTTTTCTATATATATATATATATATATATATATATATTTATTTATTTATTATTATTATTTTTTATATATATACACACACACACACATATATATATAAAATGTGTGTATGTTTGCGTTAAGTGTTTGTTTTCTTACACAGTGAGGCCCAAAAGTCTGAGCCCACACTGAAGATCTGTGAGTAAAAAGACATTTTATTGGGTTTTAATTTTAAGGGTAATAATGAGAATTTTTGACATTGACCATATTAACTCTTTTGTACTGGTCAATTTATTTTACAATTTAATGTTTTACACAAATTGATATGGTACACTGATAATATGATTTGTAATAAAAAAGGTAAAAAAAGTTTTTTTTACATTTTACTATATATATATATATATATATATATTTATTTATTTATAATTTTTTTTTTTATATATATACACACACACACACACATATATATAAAATGTGTGTATGTTTGCGTTAAGTGTTTGTTTTCTTACACAGTGAGGCCCAAAAGTCTGAGCCCACACTGAAGATCCCACACTGGGAGTAAAAAGACATTTTAAAATAAATAAACAATAAATTTAATTCAAGGTTAATAATAAAATATTTGTTATATGTTATACATTTATTTTTTGAAAGCATTTTATTTACACCTTTTTATAAATATGTACATTATTAAATATATTTCTATTTACATAAATAAAAATGCTGATAGTACAGAATAGAAGCTTTTTTTTACTAACGGTCCTTCCCTTTGCTTGATTATTTATATGTGTGCTTATGTTAGAACTTTAATGTCACAATTCGCTGGAGCACGGGCACAAGGAAACGAGGAGACGTGGAGATTTCACAGAACGAGAGTCTTTTAATGATCCAAATGGGAGACACAGAGCACAAGGATGACGTTTACAACAAGACCTGACAAGGAAACATGAAGCAGACTACACATTTATACTAAACTTAACGAGGGACAGACAGGTGCGGGGAATCAACTAATAATGAGACAATGAGAACAGGAACATGACCAAATAAGGGAACACAGAAACAGGGGCAAAACAGGTCCATAATCCTTCCATATCGTCAGGAATGGGTGGGAACTAAGGAGGCAGCTCGAGAGGAGGACGGACACCCGGGAGGGGGATGGCAGACAGAGACCAGGGAGGCGACGAAGGAGGGAGGAGCCAGGGAGGAGACAGGAGGGGTCCGGAGCAGGAGGAGCACAGCAGGACCCAGGCCACAGCCATAACGGCGGCCAACGGTGGAGCCGATGGAGGGAGGAGCCATGGAGGAGGAATGGCCACCGACTCCAGGGGGCTGACCAATGGCGGCGGAGCAGGTGGTGGAGGAGCCCGAGTTGGAAACGGAGAGCCGATGAGCCAGGGTGACGAGGAGGATCCGGAGGTCCTAGGCGGAGCAGATGGCACGACGACCGACGCGAAGGCATGTATCTGGGAGGCCGCGGTGGAGCCGGAGCGACAGAGGACTGAGGAGGAGCTGAGGGGATGAAGGAGCCTGACGGAGCCGAAGGGACGAGGTGAAGCTGGAGGAGTTGAGTCCCGAGGCGCAGGATGGTCGATGCCAGACCAAGGCGGAGCCGGAGGAATGAGGGAGCCCGGCGGAGCTAGTGGACTGCCAGGCCACGGCGGAGAGGAGGGAGCTGGGAGCTGGGAGTCATGGTGGAGCCAACGGGTCAATGGGCCGAGGTGGAGTCTGGAGCCCAGAGGCTGGAGGTGGAGTCAAGGGATACTCCGACCATGGAGATGCTGGAGGATGGCAGTCCCGCGGAGCTCGCACCGCATAAATGGCGGGCTGAGGGTGAGCAGAGGGGCTGTCAAACGACAGCGGAGGAGGAGGCAGGAGCGGGTGGGAG